GTTCATATCCACACAGTATAGAGACACACACAAAAGTGAAACTGCACTGATGCATGTTATAAATATCACACACAGGGTCCAAATTTAACACTCGCCAAATGAGTCCAACTTTAAATAATAACCATTAGAAAATACAACGAATGGTTTATTTTTTGTTTATCTATTGCTTGATGCAAAAAAAAAAGAAAGAGATCTTTTTAAGGAAGCTAAATGGCTCCGTTGTCAAAAGGACACAAATAAATGCAAAATTCAGTTTTGTGGGCTGTTAGAAATATTTTCTGCAATTTACTTTTTTTCCATTTACAGGCCAGGTGTGGCAAAAAGTACATTTTGGACCCTGATCATACCAATAAAATGTACTAAATATAAAAAAAACAAAACACAAACACATATTTACATTTTGCACCAAAATTAGTCTGAAAGACCTCGGTCGCACTTTCTCGGCCTATTTTACACAACTTCCGGTGGTAACAGCACACTGGATTTGTTGTCAGGTTTACAAGGTAAAACTAATCAATGTATTTGCCAAAGTTTGTTTTGTTTTAATTATTGTGGTATAATCTAATCTATCAATATCTCAGATAAACCCGCCTCAGACAAAAAGTAGTGGGCCACTTTATACACACTTCCTGTCTAAACAGGCAGTTGCAGAATAAGCTGCAATATGGACCAGACTTACACAGTTTAGTCAAAGGTAATGGTTAGGTTAAGGGAGATTTATTTGTTTATTTAGAGGTGGATTATCTGGTCACGACTCGAGTGATAAATACTAGTGATATGAGATTTTTTTTGTATTGTTTCCTTGACTGAACAGTTAATAGAAGTGATAATATAATAATAATATATAATGCACTATAATATATATATTAGGGCTTTTGAATAAATACAGTGTAAAATAAATGTCCAACAAATTATTAGCTTATTTATTATAAAAAAACCTCTTTGATACCATGTCACCACTGCAAGAACATTCATGTTTCCTAATATCGGTTTACAAAAAGAAGTCAAATTTACATTCCAAAGTCAAACAACATTAACTAAGAAGAGCTTACACTCAATAGATGTTACCCAAGTACTTCACAATTTACGATTTGCATTCCAGCTGTGAGGCTATAACATCTGCCTGACAGAAACATCACAAACTGATCCAGAGGCCCAGATGATGAAAGCATGTCTGGTGTGAACTCATTTGCATACACATGTTCACGAGCCCATTTCACAAGTGCATGCAAATAGGCGTACCTCATATTATTAGTAGTAGTAGCAGCAGTATTAATAAAATACATTATAAACCGAAGTTAAAGCAGTCGCTTGATCCAGACAATGAAAAGCACATCTCACATAAACTTATTTGCATAAACATATACACAAGCCCATTTCATGTGCATGCAAATAAGCTTGTCACATTATTATTATTATTATTATTAAAAATATAAACTTGACAAGCAGTGTTTCCAGTCGCCTAATCGAGACAGTGAAAAGCACATCTGCATTTACTGTTTTGCATGAGTATGCAAATGAGCTCGCTTAACATTATTATAATTAAAAATAATAATAACGATGATATTGATGATGATAACAATAATAATTAATATGTTGTGTAACAAAAAAAATTATGTAACCACCGGCCTTAAAAATCGATCCCATTAAGAAACTTCTAAGCGGGCCTGAACGCATGAGCACGTGCAGTTAATTTTTTTTAAAATTCTTATAATAATTTTGCCATGCTTTCTTTAATTGCCCATTTGAAGTGACGCAAATTCTAAGAATACGTACGTAATTCACGTATCTTTCGGACCGAGCCAGACGCGCCGCGCGCGCTGTGAAACTGCGTGATCCCTTTAAACTTTCTTCTGCCCCTCGCGTGCGAGAGTCAAGTTCATTATAACCTGGCAATAAACTTTGGGAGGGAAGACAGCAGCGCATAATTAACCTCAACACTCAATATACGAGTTATACGAAACGGTGAACGCACAAGCCAAACTTTCATAATAATTACTGCAGTGTCAGAGCAGAAACGAGAGACCCCGCTCTCGACTCAAACTCTCACGTTCCGTGTTATCTGCACTGACCAAGAGACTTCTGGCCCAAAAGAGTTTATTAGGGATTATAAGTCACTCACAGTTCATCTTTTGCTGAATCCTACTAAACACATTTACATGATGCCAGAGAAAGCTATGATAAAAATTAAACATGATTCCAAAGTGTGCCTTCAAATGAGCAAAAGCACATTACAACACCTCAATGGCACTCAACGATGCCTGTGCATCTGCTGGACAAACTTTCAGCGTCTCCAAACACACAATGACAGCATTCTTGACTCGACCGCAAACATGATACAAATCTACCTTGTAATTTTCTCTCCTGCTGGCGCAAGCCCATTCAATATGCTTTCTCTCTCCCTGACACCAGCATGCACACACACAAAAAAAGGGCAGAAAACGCGCATAAACTGAGGCTTTGCACCCTTTTATGAGGCTGCACAGCCTGAGGAGGTTGATCAAAAGGAAGTGCATGTACACACATGCGTGCACACACACACAAACAAAAGAAACATGCTACTCTGAGCATTTAAGGCTCCTTCGACCATATCACGCAGTCACATCGCGACACACTGTTCCCCTATGTAGGGGTGGGAGTTGAGGGGCCAGCGAGTGTGGGAACACGGGGATTCTTACAGCCTGAGACGAACGCATGACGCAACAGAATCCCCTGTTCTATATATGAATATATGCACATTTTGGCAACAGCGTTTCTCTGTACTCGGCCGTGCATTCAAAAGATCTAAGAAGGTGAAGTTCATATCCACACAGTATAGAGACACACACAAAAGTGAAACTGCACTGATGCATGTTATAAATATCACACACAGGGTCCAAATTTAACACTCGCCAAATGAGTCCAACTTTAAATAATAACCATTAGAAAATACAACGAATGGTTTATTTTTTGTTTATCTATTGCTTGATGCAAAAAAAAAAGAAAGAGATCTTTTTAAGGAAGCTAAATGGCTCCGTTGTCAAAAGGACACAAATAAATGCAAAATTCAGTTTTGTGGGCTGTTAGAAATATTTTCTGCAATTTACTTTTTTTCCATTTACAGGCCAGGTGTGGCAAAAAGTACATTTTGGACCCTGATCATACCAATAAAATGTACTAAATATAAAAAAAACAAAACACAAACACATATTTACATTTTGCACCAAAATTAGTCTGAAAGACCTCGGTCGCACTTTCTCGGCCTATTTTACACAACTTCCGGTGGTAACAGCACACTGGATTTGTTGTCAGGTTTACAAGGTAAAACTAATCAATGTATTTGCCAAAGTTTGTTTTGTTTTAATTATTGTGGTATAATCTAATCTATCAATATCTCAGATAAACCCGCCTCAGACAAAAAGTAGTGGGCCACTTTATACACACTTCCTGTCTAAACAGGCAGTTGCAGAATAAGCTGCAATATGGACCAGACTTACACAGTTTAGTCAAAGGTAATGGTTAGGTTAAGGGAGATTTATTTGTTTATTTAGAGGTGGATTATCTGGTCACGACTCGAGTGATAAATACTAGTGATATGAGATTTTTTTTGTATTGTTTCCTTGACTGAACAGTTAATAGAAGTGATAATATAATAATAATATATAATGCACTATAATATATATATTAGGGCTTTTGAATAAATACAGTGTAAAATAAATGTCCAACAAATTATTAGCTTATTTATTATAAAAAAACCTCTTTGATACCATGTCACCACTGCAAGAACATTCATGTTTCCTAATATCGGTTTACAAAAAGAAGTCAAATTTACATTCCAAAGTCAAACAACATTAACTAAGAAGAGCTTACACTCAATAGATGTTACCCAAGTACTTCACAATTTACGATTTGCATTCCAGCTGTGAGGCTATAACATCTGCCTGACAGAAACATCACAAACTGATCCAGAGGCCCAGATGATGAAAGCATGTCTGGTGTGAACTCATTTGCATACACATGTTCACGAGCCCATTTCACAAGTGCATGCAAATAGGCGTACCTCATATTATTAGTAGTAGTAGCAGCAGTATTAATAAAATACATTATAAACCGAAGTTAAAGCAGTCGCTTGATCCAGACAATGAAAAGCACATCTCACATAAACTTATTTGCATAAACATATACACAAGCCCATTTCATGTGCATGCAAATAAGCTTGTCACATTATTATTATTATTATTATTAAAAATATAAACTTGACAAGCAGTGTTTCCAGTCGCCTAATCGAGACAGTGAAAAGCACATCTGCATTTACTGTTTTGCATGAGTATGCAAATGAGCTCGCTTAACATTATTATAATTAAAAATAATAATAACGATGATATTGATGATGATAACAATAATAATTAATATGTTGTGTAACAAAAAAAATTATGTAACCACCGGCCTTAAAAATCGATCCCATTAAGAAACTTCTAAGCGGGCCTGAACGCATGAGCACGTGCAGTTAATTTTTTTTTAAAATTCTTATAATAATTTTGCCATGCTTTCTTTAATTGCCCATTTGAAGTGACGCAAATTCTAAGAATACGTACGTAATTCACGTATCTTTCGGACCGAGCCAGACGCGCCGCGCGCGCTGTGAAACTGCGTGATCCCTTTAAACTTTCTTCTGCCCCTCGCGTGCGAGAGTCAAGTTCATTATAACCTGGCAATAAACTTTGGGAGGGAAGACAGCAGCGCATAATTAACCTCAACACTCAATATACGAGTTATACGAAACGGTGAACGCACAAGCCAAACTTTCATAATAATTACTGCAGTGTCAGAGCAGAAACGAGAGACCCCGCTCTCGACTCAAACTCTCACGTTCCGTGTTATCTGCACTGACCAAGAGACTTCTGGCCCAAAAGAGTTTATTAGGGATTATAAGTCACTCACAGTTCATCTTTTGCTGAATCCTACTAAACACATTTACATGCTGCCAGAGAAAGCTGTGATAAAAATTAAACATGACTTGCCTGCCAGCCGCGATGTCCGTTACTTTCTCTGTCATGTTGGATGCGCGCAACAACAGCCCTGCGTAAACTTTCAGGAAGGAAAAAAACCCACAAACTTTCCATGGACACAGCGACAACAAGCGACGAAAAATCCTTGATGTGGCGAGACAGCTGAGCTTCCGGCAAAATAAAAGCCCCATTTCGTGTTTGAAGCCATCCATGTGGTTTTTGTAACCTTCTTAATTATTATATCTCTAAATGTGATATACGTAATATTTACGTAATATTTAAAAACAGAAAAGCTCTGTTCTGAGAAATATGCAAGAGGTTCTTTATATATATATATATATCTCTCTCTCTCTCTTTCTCTCTCTCTCTCGCCTCTTCTTCTTCTTCTTTGGTGTTTATTGGCGGTTAACTTGTAGGTGCATTACCGCCACCGACTGGACTGGAGTGTGGAACAGAATACGTGCTTATCGGATTGACATAATGCGAGAAGTGGGGGAAAAAAAGAACAAGAAAAAAAGGAGAGGAAGAGAAAAAATAAATAAAATAAAAATACACCTAAAAAAACAAAAAAACAAAAAAAAGAGGCAATAATCATATTATTCATAATAAAATAAATTACTAAAAAATATAAAAAAAGATTTTAATAATAATAATAATAATAATAATAAAAAAATTCAATTATTTTACTTAACTTCGCTTCTTTAATAAACTTATTGATGTAATCATATATAGCCTTTCCCCCTAGAATACCAGGTATAGAAAAGTCTTTGTGATCAACCTTCTTTAATGACTGAATAAAATGGCATCTTTCTTTGTTGTATTTCCTGCAATGAAGCAGTACATGTTCAACTGTTTCTTGCTGACTACAATAAATACATTCCCCAGTTGGGTGCTTGCCAATTTTAAACAATGTACTATTAAGTCCTGTGTGACCTATTCTCAGACGAGTTATAATATTCCCTTCCTTACGGTTCCTGCTCTCCCTCCTCCCAGCACCAACTTGTTAACCATTTAACAGGTTTTTACTGTAGCATTTTTACAGTCTTTTACCGTTAAATTCACGGTCATTTTTTTTTACAGTGTATTAATAATCTTTTTACACTTGTCCTTAATTTTATCCAGATGAACTTTCCATGTCAGGTTTTCATCAAACCAAAGCCCAAGAAACCTTACGGAGTTTACTTGCTCCAGAGGATTCCCATACAATTTTAAAGAAAGGGGTGTGATTTTATGCCGCCTTGAAAAACAAATGACCTGTGTTTTTGATACAGATAATTTAAATCCCCATTTATTAGCCCACTTTTCAACATCAACTATTGCATCTTGCATTTTTTTATTAATATATGATATATTGCGACCTCTAATCCACAAAGCCCCATCATCTGCATATAAAGATTTTCCAATGTTATGTTCAACTTGAGAGAAAATGTCATTAATCATTATATTGAATAATAACGGACTACATACACTACCTTGTGGTGTTCCATTCTCCACTGTATACACCCTGGAGTATTCTTCACCTACTTTCACTTGTATTTTTCTATCAAATAAAAAGTCCTGAACCCAATTATATATTCTACCACCAATTCCCAAAGACTTTAATTTTATTAATAATCCTTCTTTCCAGAGCATATCATATGCCTTTTCCACATCAAAGAAGACAGCTACTACTACTTCTTTGTTTGTCTGTGCTTTTCTGATGTCTGACTCTAGACATAATACAGCGTCCATTGTATTCCGACCCCTACGGAATCCACTCTGATAAGGAGACAAGAGATCTTTACTCTCTAGGAAATATGTTATTCTTTCTGTGATTATTCTTTCCATTACTTTACATAAATGGGAAGTTAAGGAAGTTAAGGTATAACTAGAAGGATCTGATGGGGTTTTCCCAGGTTTAAGAACAGGTACTATTATTGCTTTTATTGCTTGTGAAGGGAGTTGACCAGTATCCCAAATTAGGTTAAATAATTTTAGTACTATTTCCAGTGTATTATCTGTCATGTATGCCAACATTTTGTAACATACTCCATCTCTTCCAGGAGTAGTCTGTCTAGCACTTATGATTGCTCTTCTTAACTCAAACATGTTTAGAGGCAGGTCGAGTAAACTATCTGACCTCATCTTTCTTTAATAAATTAGGGTAATCCATTAATGTGCTACTCCTACACTGCCTGGCTTCTTCTGAAAGATTATCTGAGCTATGAACTTTCTTGAATGTTTTTACTAGAAGTTCAGCCTTATCTAGATTGCTGACAGCCATTCTGTCTGCACTGATCATCACTGGTAACTCATAATTCCTTCTAATCCCCCCCATTTTCCTGATCATATTCCATACATCTGACAGTTGTACTTCTCTTCCAATGCTATCACAGTACTGCCTCCAAAAAGTACGCTTTTGTGTTTTTATAGTTTTCCTAACTATCGCCTGGGCCGATTTATACTGGATCATAGCATCCATAGAATGCTGTTTTTTAAGTTGCCTAAATGCTTTATTTCTTGCTTTTACAGCTGCTTTACAATCATCATTCCACCAGGGTACGTTCTTGATACGTCTAACTCCTGTAGTTTTAGGTATTATTTCCTCAGCCGATTGAATTATTTCATTAACTAGCTTATTGTTGAATATATTTACATCCATCTGGTTTTCCTCTAGTAGAGTCATACATCTATTTTCACAAATTACTTGAAAAACTTCCCAATTTACCTTCTCCAGTTTCCATCTAGGACTTCTCTTTTCTTGTTCATAACATATCTTTGTACCAACTGTAGTCACTACAGGATAATAGTCACTATGTTTGATCACACTCCATGTACTGATCCCTGCTATTACAGTAGATACAAATGTCAGGTCAAGTGCCGTTTCTGTATTTTGTATACTGTTATATCGTGTTCCCTCTCCATTATTAATGCACACCAAACAATTATCATCAATGAATTCTTCAATAAGTTGGCCGTTCACATCAGTATTATTACTCCCCCATAATGAATTATAAGAGTTAAAATCACCACACCACACTACATTGTCATGCAAATGACCCACAACATCTTCTAAAATGATTTGACTTAATTTTTATAATTGATTCATAATCTTTATTTATTTGTACTACCTTATATTTCATCCCATTTTGTATAAATGTAGCTATTCCTCCCCCTCTGCCTGCTTCTCTATCTCTTCTAATTACATTATATCCCTTTATAATAAAATCCAATTGTGGTTTCAACCATGTTTCCTGAATACATATAATTAAATGATCCACTACAGATTCTTAGGGCTTGAGCTTGCAATACATCTAATTGTTTGAGGTTTGTTTCTGCTGCCGACATATAAGCTATACATCCATAGTCAAAGACAGACCTCATGAGTGCCCAGTATATATTTTGTAAAGATGCTCTACTTGCTCCCCATTCCTGTCCTGATAAACACCGAAGAATATTAATAATCTTTTTACACTTGTCCTTAATTTTATCCAGATGAACTTTCCATGTCAGTTTTTCATCAAACCAGAGCCCAAGAAACCTTACGGATTTTACTTGCTCCAGAGGATTCCCATACAATTTTAAAGAAAGGGGTGTGATTTTATGCCGCCTTGAAAAACAAATGACCTGTGTTTTTGATACAGATAATTTAAATCCCCATTTATTAGCCCACTTTTCAACATCAACTATTGCATCTTGCATTTTTTTATTAATATATGATATATTGCGACCTCTAATCCACAAAGCCCCATCATCTGCATATAAAGATTTTCCAATGTTATGTTCAACTTGAGAGAAAATGTCAATCATTATATTGAATAATAACAGACTATACACTACCTTTCTCTCTCTATTATATACACACACACACACACACACACGTAGTTAAAAAAGCAGTGTGTTTATATATATATATATATATATATATATATATGCATGTATATATATATACACACATACACTTACTTCTTTTTTTAAATGTGACACTGTAACAAATTAAGTACAAAAGTCTTATTTTATATTATCTGTCGGTTGATATTAGATCATGCAAATTGCATGCATAACAATTGTAAATTGTAAACGATAAATGTTTAAAAAAGTTGGAAGTATAGTAACATCATAGGACTATTTGACTTTAACTCCACTTAATGCGGCACTTTGGGACTTTTATTTTAAAAACCGCTTCAAGTTCAGCACTTTCTTTGTTGCTTCACGTGATAGATTTTGTAGTTTCCGTTGTCAAATGTGTGATGTCCATTAAAAGCGTGTTACTAGCAGTGAGATTGATTATGAAATTGTCAGGTTGTGTTATGATAAATTAATGAACTCTTAAGTGTAGAAAAAATCCTCCACAGTAGCACAATTCACTCAAAACGTAATATTTACTTTCATGTCCTTGAAAAAGGTCATGAAGGGCATATTTAAATGTGAAAGTATATGTTTTGTTGATGTACATTCACAACATATTAGAGAAATGTAGAGTAAAGATGACTACAGTGAATTTTAGAAGCCATCCATCAAATAAAACGCCAATGCATTTCCATTCAATGACAGGATCAGTGAATGAAACCTTCAGTCTTAAGAAAATGAAACCCATACACAGTGATGCTGAGCCATCTTGTGGCGAAATCGTGAGCTCACATTTTGATTAAAAAAAAAATCATACTTTATGACGATGCTCATCTTTATTTGATTCATTTGAAAACAAATTTACATTCTTGTTTCATTCAAATTAAATATTCTACCCAATGCAATGATCTGGTTATTGCAATACAACCTTGTTCAACAAAAAAGGTAACTTTATTGCAGTTGTTGTCATTTTAATATTAGTACCTGGTTAATACACAAGCAGTTCATCCACATTCATCTCTTAGCTGCTGGTGTTTTCCTGTTTTTATTGTGGAATCTAACACAGTGTTTTAGATGAAATCTGAAGGCACTGAGAGAAATGTAGAGTAAAGATGACTACAGTGAATTTTAGAAGCCATCCATCAAATAAAACGCCAATGCATTTCCATTCAATGACAGGATCAGTGAATGAAACCTTCAGTCTTAAGAAAATGAAACCCATACACAGTGATGCTGAGCCATCTTGTGGCGAAATCGTGAGCTCACATTTTGATAAAAAAAAAAAATCATACTTTATGATGATGCTCATCTTTATTTGATTCATTTGAAAACAAATTTACATTCTTGTTTCATTCAAATTAAATATTCTACCCAATGCAATGATCTGGTTATTGCAATACAACCTTGTTCAACAAAAAAGGTAACTTTATTGCAGTTGTTGTCATTTTAATATTAGTACCTGGTTAATACACAAGCAGTTCATCCACATTCATCTCTTAGCTGCTGGTGTTTTCCTGTTTTTATTGTGGAATCTAACACAGTGTTTTAGATGAAATCTGAAGGCACTGTGGTTGGCCACCCAAGGATCCCATTTAGTGTCTTGTCACTGTCGGTTAAATCTCCCCAAATATGATTTTATGATTGCACACAATTTGTACCATTAAAATGCATTTACAAATAGCCTGTATATATAAATAATAGTAAGCTGTCTGTATATATTCTATAATGTATTAAATGTTGGTCACAGTACGATGACTATAATTGGTCAGTTTTAAAAGGCAAGGCAAAGCATTGGCATGCTTATTGGCAAGAACGAAAGTATATGTTCAAGCATAGCAAATCTTAGCCTAAAAAATTAATAGCATTGTGTATTAAAGCTGCTTAGAAAAAAGATCCATCAACAGAAGATTACATGATAGCTGGCTAGTTAGATAGGTCCATTGTCTGAGACACTATTACATACTTTAACATTAGAAATAATCTGGGCAATTATGTTTTGGCAGGATGGATTGTAGATCTCCTAAAATACAGCATAAAATTCACCGCCAAGAAGTTTGCAGTGAAATCAGGTTAACTCTATTAATCTTGGCATACATCTGACTTTTTGTGCTGTTATGCAATATTTTTTTTCGACATTATACTGTAGAATGATTACAAATTGCCATAGACCAGCTTTGGCACTGCGATGCTTAACATTCAAGGTGTTTGTGATTCTGAAAACATGGACCTTGTACCGCTGTTCTTTTTTATCAAAAAAAAAAAAAATCTACGTTGTTATGAAAAACCTCAATTTAAAAAAAATGTAAAAATAAAACACAAATGAGAAGGAAATGGCAAGTCGCTTCTACATGAGGTTCTTGGAAAATCCCAACATGAATTTAAGTGCAAGAATAGTTCATCCAAAAAAAAGGAAACGGCATCATCATTTACTCATTCTCATGTCATTCCAAACCTCTATCACTTTCTTGCTTCCATGAACACAAAAGTAGTAGTTTGGCTGAACATCCAGAATGCTCTCTCTCTCTTTCTTTTTAAAAAATTTTTTTTTACAATGGGGACTGGGAAAGTCAAGGTCCAAAAAATGACTTAAAAGCACCATAAATGTAGTCCATACCTATGCACCAAATAAGCATTCTGAAGTCATAAATCTTTGTGCGACAAATTGTTATGTTTTATTTTTCACATAATTAAAATCTCTAAAATCTTGCATCAAGGTGCTTTTTTGTTATTTTTTAAACCTGGACAGACCCAGTGTCCATATATTTTTGCTTTGAAATGGAAAAGAGCAATGTATACTTAGCAAAATATCTCATATTTAATTCAACAATGCAACACTATAATATTGAGATTATTGAAGATTTAATGCAATTTTTATTTTGCTATCGAGTTTCTTAAAGACTGTCATAAGATTTGTTTTTCAATCATTCCTTGCCACACAACCTATAATTATGGGAATGTTAAAATTATTTTAATAGCATATCTGAATTAAAAGGAAAAGAGCACTGTATACTTAGCAAAATATCTCATATTTAATTCAACAATGCAACACTAGAATATTGAGATTATTGAAGATTTAATGCAATTTTTATTTTGCTATCGAGTTTCTTAAAGACTATGTCATAAGATTTGTTTTTCAATCTTTCCTTGCCACACAACCTATAATTATGGGAATGTTAAAATTATTTTAATAGCATATCTGAATTAAATTTAGTAGCAAATATTGCATAAAGATTTTAACATTAATTTTTTTGTGCATTAGTTCAAACTGTGTGTTCTAATTAGGGTTGCAAAGGGGTGGAACATTTCCGGAAACTTTCCAAAAATCCCTGGAATATTACAAAAATCCTGGAAAGTTTCCAAAATTTCTGGAATATTTCCAAAATTTCCTGGCAATTTTCCACCTTTTTGCAACCCTAGTTCTAATAAATCGATTCAAAACTGATTCAATGATTCATTTAGGTCAACCCACAACAGGAAGTGCAATGTTTTTCATCGTATTAAAGGAATAGTTTGTCCAAAAATGAAAATATGCCTAAAAATTACTCACCCTCAGGCTATCCAAGATGTAGATGTTTGTTCATGGGAACAGATTTACACCACTTGCTCACCAATGGATCCTCTGCAGTGAATGGGTGCCGTCAGAATGAGAGTCCAAACAGCTGATAAAAACATCACAATAATCCACAAGTAAAAGTCGTCTTGTCTGAATCAGGAGAGAAATATGCACAGATCATGCACCGTTACAAGCAAAAACAGTCCAAAACATTTCAAAACAAATATGTTGGTGGACTTTTTCACTGGTGGAAGCGTTACTATGGATATCCTCATATTTTGTTTCACACAAGATGTTAATTGATGGACTGGAGTCGTGTGGATTACTTTATCAGCTGTTTGGACTCTCATTCTGACGGCACCCACTCACTGCAGAGGATTCCGTTGGTGAGCAAGTGATGCAATGCTACATTTCTCCAAATCTGTTCAGATGAAGAAACAAACTCATGTACACCTTCGGATGAGTACATTTTCAGGAAATTTTCATTTTTGGGTGAACTATTCCTTTAAAATGCTTTAGTAAACCTATGTAGGTAAATACTGCTGTTTATTTTGTCATACTGTAGCATATAATTAAAAAGTATTTTCCCCTTATATTTCCTTACTGTATTTAAAATCTTCCTTTGATTAAATTTGAACTTAAATTTTTTAGAGAGGTTTGGAATGACATGAGGGTGAGTAAATGACGACAGAATGTTCCTCTAAAAAGGGCTTGGTCCTGTTTAAGGAAAAAAAAAAAAATCAGTAACAGTGGACAAGCAATTGTCATTCTAATGCTCTCTTTGTTTTTGACCTTTTATGTATGCGGATGTATATTTTGAGTCTCCACGTTCATTCACTGGCTCTGCAGCCATTCTATTCTCAGTTCAGCCACCTCTTTGCCGTACCAGTCATGTAGTTTGGAGAAGCAGCCTGTGCCGGGTGAAACGGGGCTCTCGAGTGATCCGCCGTTGGTCTTCCTTCGCGGGGGTACCGGATGTGGTCTGACTCCATCCCCTCTCTCGCTACAGTCCCCTTGTGTGTTGCTGACACCGTTTGGCACACTGGGGGGTTTACTCCAAGACACCCCGTTTTCTCTGCTAGACACCCCTTCCTGCGAAGGCCCCGTAATGGTGGCGTTCTGTAGTGAAAAGGTTGCTCCCTGCAGTTGCAGCTGGTGCTTCTTCAGCATGCTTTTCGCTTGTGATGATCTGGCTTCTTCCTGCACCTCCTCCAGCTGCCTCTCCAGCTCCTTCACGACCAGCCGCATGTAGTCGAAACTCGCCCGTGACAGAGCTTTGACCCACGATTCCATAGCGGCCTGGTTCTCCGCGGCCATCTTGTAGACCTTCGCTTTGACACAGTCGAATTTAATGGCGAAGGCGAACTCTTCGGATTCAGACTCGCAGAGCTCCACTGTACAGCCTTCCAGGACGATGACGCCGACTGGCTCTCGACTTTCCTTCTCCTCGAAGTAGAACAGCATGTTGCCCTTCAGAATAAACCAGCGGCGGTGGTAAGCCGTGTTCCGTTCCCCTTTCTTAAAGAGGAAGCCTGTCTTGTCTGGAGGAGAGTTGCATGTGGCATAATGCGCCACGCTCCTCTCGTTCAACTTCATGATGGCGAGGACACCTGTCTCTGAAACAGAAGTCAAAAATTTGTTTGCAGTACATACATTTCAAGTAAATATTAGAGATAGACTGATAATATTAAACTCAAGGTGGTTTAATAATATTGATTTAACCCTAATTCACGCATTTCTACTGGTCATATTGGGTCTACAAGGAAATCTAAAAGAACAGCACCTCTAAATGTAATCATAATAATGAATGTTTTTATTTACGATGACTAATAGTAAAAATACAATAAAAAATGTGTTGTGCATATCAGTTATTTGACAATGTATGATGTTATTCAATATTGTGATTATAGAGATGATGTTAATACACTTTTATTTGAAGACTGTGTAATTAGATATGTTTTGCAATCCTTCCACACAACTTGTGAATATGAGAATATTACAAAGATGTTTAATTAGCATATCTGAATTAAACTTAAGTAGCAAAAATTGCACAAAGAGTTAAGATCGGTTCAAACTGTGTGTTCCAATGAATCAATTGAAAACGAATTCAACAATTAATTGAGGACAACATTTAACAGTGTTCAAGGAAGTGCAATGTTTTTCATGCATTAAAAAGGTTTAGTAAAAATATATGTAGGTAAAAATCGTGGTTTAATTTGTAGGGCTGGACCAGAATATTCGATTATTCTAATATTTGTTCGGTGGGTTAACATTCGATTTTCAATTTTGAGATTTAAATATTCTTTTTTTTTCCGAACACCTGGCATCCCCCGCGAAACAGTTCTCATTCGCGCTTGAATATGAATCGCCCATGAGTGAACGTCATGATTCAGTTCATCTGGAAGAGAAGACAAAAATGCCGAAGACCTCACAACAGCTAAAGTCTGTCTACACTGGACGCAAAAAAGCGACCGCTGAAAATCATTTGAAATTTGTGTCAATACGTCAGAAATAGAATGCAGCAGCAGTTTTCTGTCGGGAATTTGTTGTGTCGCGACGCGCCGCATCCAGTGTAGACAGCATCACTGATTATAATGAGTTCTATAGTATTTTGTCACGCCGCGCCGTTGGCGTCCGTTGTAGACACGGTGTTAGAGAGAAGAATATGTTCAGCCCCCTCCCTCCGAAGCTTCGAATATTCGGTGTTGATTACTACCGAAGCTTTGAAGCTCAAAAAATGGTATTCGGACCAGCCCTATTAATTTGTCACATTGGTGCACATGTTCATTTATTTAAAAACAATGCTTTGATTATTTTCATCTTGAATCTATTTGCCTACAAAGGTTGTTTGATTTTACAATGATGATTCCTCTTATTGAATAAATAAAAAAAATCACCTTTAAGCCATTTAAGTCAAATACATACAGTCAATATTAGGAAATTTATCAAACTTTGTGCAAAAATGAAAACACTACTTTGCAAAAGTTTGGGCTGTGTAAGAATTTATGTTTTTGAAATAAGTCTTTTATTCTCACCATTTATTTGATCAAAAATACAGTAAAAACAGTATTGTGAAATATTATTACAAATTCAAAACTTTTTTCAATTTAAATATATTTTAAAAATGTAATTTATTCCTGTGATGGCAAAGCTGAATTTCGAGCAGCCAAAGAGTGCTGCAGCATTTATTTGAAACAGAAATCTTTTGTTACATTTGTAAATATGTTACTGTTACTTTTGATCAATTTAATGCATCCTTTCTAAATAAAATGATAATTTCTTAATTTTTTTAACCAACCCCAAATTCTTGAACAGTAGATATAAATTCACCTTTCTTTCAACGCTCTTCTGTAAACCCTTCACGAGTGGCCTGCTTCCAACAGTCAATCAAAACACCAGCAGTTGCCGAACATCTCCATCCCATTTCTGATCTAAAAAAAAAAACAGCCACACATAGAGTGAAGTCAGTGACTGAGGTGTCATATATACCGGAACATCCTACTTCACACATCTGACCTGGTTTAAAACACGAAATCCCCCTTTCTTAAAACAAGTGGCATAAATAAAAGTCTGTGGAAGTGACTAAACTATGCAGAAATCAGACATAGCGTCAAAACTATGTGACAAAGATATTTCAATAAAAAAATAATGATAATTTAAAAAAAAAATTATATATATATATATAT